CCGCAGGCGTCCAGCGAAATCTTCCAGGGTTTGCTTTCCTCGGAGGAGCAGCCTCGCTCGCCGGTGCTGCAGCAACTCATCCCTTCAGCAGAAGGCTCCACGATATCCAAATGGCTCGTAACACTCTTCCTTTCTTGGGCTCCAAAAAAAGCACGTAGAAATGCGAAATCCAGTTGCAAAGCTGGGCTGCCTGAGACCAGGTTTGTGCCTCTTCTCCCAAATCCCAGGAAGCAGGAGAACTGTGCAGCTCCCCAGAGGTTATTCCCCGTGGCTGTACATCATCCCGGCTCAGTCGGCCTCCGAACAGCTTCTCTGGCTGCATCCCCTCTCGCCAGGGGCCAAAGAACAGTCTTGCCATTATGCCTGGAGCAGATGATCTTACTAGAGAGTCTCCTTCTCTATCTTTCCTCACCTTGAAGTTATCCAAGGGAGGGTAATAAAAATTCAGCTTGATCGTAAGACAGTATTTCTCATGCTGAAAAAACAACAAAACAAAACAAAAAAATCCCAACGACATCAAAAATAAAACTTCCAAAAAATTGCAAATAGTGCCGTGACATTCTCTGTTCTGCAAGGAGTCCGTGAGCTGGGCTCAGCTGTCTCCGAGACCGCTCTCCCCCAGCCAGGAGCCGAGGCTCTCGTTCCCGTTCCGCTGTGCTTCTCGAGGAGTCTTGAACCCTCTTCTCTGTACAAAAGAGCTCGAGAGCAGAAGCGGCACCGTGGAAGCGGGCTTCACCGTCGCGTGCCTCCTTCCCAACCACGGCCCCGCTTGGGCTACAGGATGGCAACAATCCAATTCCTGGTGGGGAAGAGAGAGGGGAGAGGGATCAAACAGCCCACTCGGCGCGGCAGGAGCTGCCCCAGGCTGCAGCCGGTGCGGGACAAGAGCGAGCCCAGGCGTGCGTGGGCACAAGCCGTGCAGGAAGCGGGCTTCACCGTCGCGTGCCTCCTTCCCAACCACGGCCCCGCTTGGGCTACAGGATGGCAACAATCCAATTCCTGGTGGGGAAGAGAGAGGGGAGAGGGATCAAACAGCCCACTCGGCGCGGCAGGAGCTGCCCCAGGCTGCAGCCGGTGCGGGACAAGAGCGAGCCCAGGCGTGCGTGGGCACAAGCCGTGCACCGCGAAGTGACAGAAGCCTCATCTCCCTCCCCAAGGACGGTGGTAAAAGACCATGGAGGGATCAGCCACGACTTCTTGGGGAGGGTTTTTGCGTTCTCTTTGCCGTAGAGGGAACAGAGCGATTTACATCCGGCCCCACGGGCAGCGCGCACGTACCATCAGTGACAGCAACAAGACGGGTGAGGCAGCCTCGCTACGTGGAGGATTCGGTCTCCTGCTTCTGTTTGGAGATGAGCTGAGCTTCCTTCAGCGACAGGTACACCTCCTCTTGCGGGTCGTAGTAGTAGAACTTGCGGATGTAAGAGATCAGAGGCCTGGGGAAGGAACAGGTGAGAAGCTTTAAACCCTGAGCCACAACCACGTCAGCCTCTGCAAAGGATCACCAGAACCTGTCCCCCAGCAGAAACAGTAGCCGGTACCTCCTTGCTCCTCAGCCCCACATGCATCCCTACACACCACAGGTCATTTATCTTGCTGTCCTGAGGCTGAAGAAATCAACCACTTCCCCCCAGAGCCCTTGCTGCACACGCAAACGCCCTCTCGCTGCCTGCTGCAGTGAGGAAAACCAGAGACTCGTCCCCAGATCAGTCCTCGAGACTTACTTGGGCAGCGGGAGCTCGGGGATGTGATCTATCCGGACCAACTGCCTGATCCGAAAGCGGCAAAGGTGCTGAAGGGATTTGACGTTGCTGAACCTGGAGACTGGGTACAGGAGCTGGACAGGCGTCGGAGGGAGACCTTTGAGGGGGAAAAAAAACCCCAATTATTGGAGACAAGCATTATCTTAGAAGGGAACCGCCACTGGGGCAGAAAGGAAGAACTGGCTCGAGAAGCAGAGTTCTCTGCAAGGCTGCGCCCGACAGCAGATCTCCCCAGGAGGCCACTGCTTCACAGTTGCTGGGGACAAGGGAGCCAAACCTTCCCCCTCGGGCTGCACAATACCTCCAAGACCTCCTCACAAGGCAGCGACAGCTGTGACAGCACAGGGTGGCCGTGGAAAAGCAGGTCCCGGGACACCGCAAGCTCCTCGTCACCCCCCTTCTCCCCAGACTGGTACAAGAAGCATCGCTTTATGCTGAGAAGCAACAAGCTTCTGAAAAGATGCAGGAAAACGCCAAAGCAGAAGGCAGGCAGCATGACCGGCACGTAGGCTTTGCCGGGGGACTCGGTCAGCTCATTCTTGGGGTCACGAGGCCGGGCACAAGGGCAGGGGCGGCGGCAGCTTCGCTCGAGCCAGCTCCCCATGCAGCGAGCAGCCTCGGCCCCACAACCTCCTCCTCCCTCAAAGTTAAGAGCAACACTCGAGCCCACAGAGCCGACAGGAGCACCAGGAAGGATCTTGGGGAGCCTGGTTCATTCACAGCACAAGGTTTTATCTGTCTTTAGAGGAGGATTCAAAGCTAGTTACGCTCTAACCCCTTCCTGCTGGCTTGTCTCTGAGGGCAACGGAGTGAAAGGAGAAAAGGGAAAGCTCTTCACACTAAGATGGGCTCAGAACTGCTCCAGGCAGCTCAGGAAGCTGTGAGCCAGCTTTCGAGAAAGCAAAGAACAGCAATCAATTGAAGGCTGGATTCTTCCCCCTCCTCCTCATTCTCTTACCGAAAAGGAATTGGCCTCTGGGAGCTCGGCCAGCCAGGACTGGGACGCGGCGAGCTCAGCGCTGGCCGCACGCCTCCAACAGCCCCCTCCTCCGAGCAGCACTTGGTATTTCAGCAGGGGAACAGCCCTAACGAGCACACGGGGACAAGCAGGTCCTAAATGCTCTCCCACTACAGATCAGGCATCAACACGAGGCTTTTTTCTTTTTTTTAATCAAGGATCAGGGTGCAGCGACTCGGCGCCCAGGTCCCACGCTGCTCCCAGAGACACGCAGGACCCGGCAGCACGGCTGGGTGGAGGCTCAGAGCAGGGACAGGCAGCGGCAGATTTGTCAGCAGGTGCTGTTTGAGGGGCATATTTTCTTTTTTGATGGTATTTCTCTAGATCAGCTCATTTCTAAAAGTATTTGCCTGGAGTCCTAAGCCCTCAAAGCCCTGCTCTCAAGGGAA